AGAGAGACAGAGAGACAGAGAAAGAAAAGTTTAAAATGCAGTGCCACACATTGAAGTAATATGAAATCACCCAGCTATTAAACCGATGGTTGTTTCTCTCCCAGTCCCTGGAGAAGAAAGGGTGGAGTGGACTGTTGTGAGTAAAAGGAGAGGAAAAACAGCAAATAAAGACGGGGAGAATTAATTCGAGATCACAGAGGTAAGCGCAAACACGCTATACTCTAATACACAAACACACACATACATAGTCTCTGTGCTGCTTTTGGCAGTCAACAAGTGTATTAGAACCATATGGAAATAATAGATTTTTTGGAAGCGGCTGCTCACATAAATCCACCGTGGCTTTCAGTGCATGACCACAGAATGTGAGTGACTGTGTGAGCACGTGTATGTGTGTGTGTGCGAGTGTGTGAGCACATGTCCAGCTTGTGCTCGCTCAAGCAGTCCTTATGGAGCCGTACACTGGAAAGAGTTTTAGCATACCTGCACTTAAACAACAGCTGAAACATCAGGCAGACACGACATTGCTGGTTTATACTGTACAGACTATAACTCACTGAGCATTGCCCCAGTCCAGTGGGACAAACACACTCACAGACACAGACACAATATTGTACTTTTAAGCCTTGCTCGTAGTGGGGTTCTATGGCAATGGCTGTCTGTCAGATCGCTCAATACACTACTGGGTACAGACTGAAACATCTCAACAACAAACAAATTTGGTACCAGGCGATGAATCCTGTGACTTTTTGTCAGAGTTTACAGTGGAACAGTTAGCCTGGTAATAGGGTAATAAAATCTACATACAAGCACCTCTAAGGTGTTATTAATGAGCTTTAGAGGTGCTGGTAGGTGGATTTTATTACTGTTGGACAAAGCCAGGCTAGCTGTTCCCCCCTGCTACCAGTCTTTATGCTAAGCTGCACCAACCGGCAGCTAGCGGTAGCTTCATATTCAACAGACAGATATAAGAGCGTCAAATAAAATAAATATATCAAACTTTTAGCTACAGTTTACTGATCTGTACGTCTGCACTCCTCATGATGAATGCAAGACTTTACTTATGGTACTTTTACTAAGGTACAGCATCTGAATACTTCCACTACTGCACACACACTCAGCTTACTGGGTATCATTATTCTGGGAAGCCACAACCATCCTGTCTGGTTAAAAACCTACTGAGTTTACAGCCCTCTGATGTACAGCTGGTTCAAACACACATACACACACACACTCTTGCATGCCGCACACGGAGCTCTCAGATTTCCTTGCAACTCAAATCTTTGTCAGCTCCACAATCTTTCAACAATGTCTTTCACTCCTCTCTTTCTTTGATTCGTTCCTCTTTTGTTTTTTTGTTTTTTCCCCCCCTGAATCTCTCTTCACTCACACAGCTGTCACAAACAGCTGGAAAGTTCCTAGTCCCTCATCTGGGAGAGACAAGAGCAAGGGAGTTGTCAAGTTTATACACACACACACACTCACACAGATCGACATTTCCCATGTGAACCAGCCCTGGCGACAAAGTGTAACTAAAACACTCTCATGGATAAATGTCAAAGCATGCACTAAATTTCACACTTTGACTTGTGTTGTGTGTGTGAGTGAAGGAATGCATGTGGCCATCATGTCACAAGGCACTCATAAGGATCATCTGTTGGTTCTGTTCTGGCGAAGTGTGAAACCAGCCCATGAAACTTTATGTAGTATGTTCCGCCACAGTTTCACACTGCTGAAACAGACTTATTTTTGTGTTATTTATGGGAGATATGTTATAGTCTGGTTTAAGCCTTTTATACCAGAGTGTGTTTCACGTTCACTGAATACATGAGTGAATGTGGGCGCTTAAAGGTCAGTGCACGTATGTGACCTGATGTTTCCAAGTAACCGTGTAAATCTGCCCGGATGTGTGTGTGAAATGTGGTTGGTAATGGTTGTAAATATTTCTGCAGGACATAAACACGTTGGGCCCCATTTTAAACGGGATAGTTTCTGTGTATCTCTGAAGACGCATGTGTTCCTGTAAGACTATAAACAATGAGCGGACAACGACCACCAAACATACAAGGACAGTGTGTGCGTGCAGCTTTGGGATGCTACAGTACAGTTAAAAAGAAAGAAAGAGCTTCCATAAAAGACCAAAAAGGAATGTAAAATGACAAGAGAGAACACAAGAAGAAGTCAAGCCACTGCATTCATGCGTTGGTGATCGTATGAACGCTACAGGGCGAGTTGATTCTCCTCCCAAAAGAGTTTAAGGGTGTGTAAAACAGAGGGAGGCTAATGGACTGAATGGAGGAAGGAGGTGAAGTGAGAGTAAAAGCAGAAGAGAGAAGTCGTGTTCACTGGTGTTTTAATGGCTCTGGAGGAGAATTTGTGTGTTATTGTAGGGACTGGTATACTTTTGGTGTTCCCTCATTTACTATGAGGGGCAGGGTTAGGGGTCTACCCATAACTGCCAAAGGGCAGCTTGAACAGAAGGAGGGGAGGAGTGGAGTGACAGGGAGAGAGGCAGTTATTGAATAGGCCAAGGAAGGGGGAGAAAAAAGAGTGATGGCTTTTACAGAAGCAAAATACTTAAAATAGGGTGGTGATGGAAGGAGAGAAAGGCAGCGAGGATGGGCCCGGGCCTGTGGATGAAATCAAGACACTTAAACCACAAGTACACTCCAAACATAGTCAGAACCACTCAATCACTTTGCAACTTTCAAAAACATCTTTTTAAATGTTTTTTTTAAACCTGTGTTTTATTTTCACTTCATGCATTCCATACATTCAGTACAGTCCTGACGTCATTTCACTTTCCATCATTGTCTCTGCAGAAGTTTCCAACTTCCTTGACATCTATCCAGTGTGATTTGTTCCATCTCGTAAAGTTTCAGCTTCAGGTTTCATTTAATTGTGATACATGGGTACTATGCATACTTAAGGTTGTCAGTTGTGTGGCCCTTTTTCAATGTTTTTAAAAGAGTTTTAAAATGTTACTCGTCTCATGAGAGGTTATTAGGCACATTGCCAGTAGGCCTAGATAATATTAAAAGATTTCTAAGAATTTTGCAATATCTCTTGATGTCTTTTTTTAGATTATTTTTGGGCCTTTTGCCTTTATTTTTTCAGTTTCACTAGAGATACAGACAGGAAATGAGGGAAGAGAGGGGTTTGACATGCAACAGAGGTCTCTGACTGGAATCGTACCAGAGATGTTACGGTTATATGGTATGCATCTACACCACAGAGTCACCAAGACAACCAAAGTTATCATTATTTTTGACTTTTTACAGATAAAGCCGGGCTGAAATGTATTGTAGTCAAATAGCGCAAAGAAACAAGAAACTAAACCCATCCCTTTTTGTAGAGTATGATGACTTATAATGACTATTGGAAAGTTGATAACTTAATTAACAAAAATAATGTTCAGTTGTTCTTCTAGTTGTGTTGTTACACTCTTCTGGGTACTTTTATTGATTAAAGGAAAGTTAGAGTCTAGTCTATTCTTACTTTGGTCTTGTTTTTATATTTCTGGTTATCATTTACACTTCACTTGGTAATCAGGTTTCTTAACATTGTGCCCACTCAAGTAATAACTGTGAACACTGCGATTGCATCAGTACAATGAAGTCCAATGGGACAAGAAACACGAGCGGTCAGACAATCAGGGGGGGATGTAAACAAGCCAACAGTTGAGACAGATTATCTGAACCACTTTAGAGGTTAAACCGAAAGTGAGCATAAACACAATATTGGCAATAATTCCTCTCCGCAGAGGAAAACTGATCTAAGTTGAATCAAGAAGTCCGTCTGTAAACTGTTATGGATGTTTACAATGGACATTCTTGGAAATCACTTACTTTTTGCCTTTGATTTCTCTTCCAAATAGGTTTGGCTAACCTGGGGGTTTGTTTAAAATGTGTATCTGTATGTTACTAGTTGAGTTCCAATATTTTAGCAATTAATACATTGGCAATAAGAAATAGCTAAAACTAGTAAACTGAGTTGCATATAACCAGGGTTTTCCATTTAACTACAATCACTACTCACTCATTCCTTAAGTACAATCAGTAGAAAAAACAACAACGTAAAGCCATCGAAAGGCCTGTGATTGGCAAATAAACATAAAAGAAGCCTGACAGCCACTTAGCAGCAGACTAATGAAGGTAAAGATGGATCGCAGCAGAGAAGCAGGCGAAAGAAAAATGTACACAGCCAGTGGAAAAAAGACAGTCAAGTGTTTTTGTACAGGAGCTGTGAAAATTATAGATGTATTTTACTACCTGGGAGGAGGGCAGGAGAGAAAAGGTCTGTATGCAATATATAGGAGCAATGTGAAGGAGGAGAGAGGGGGTTACCGCCTGAGGGCTGAAAGCTTCGTTCTGTGCACAAATACCACACACATATAAACACACACAAGCCAAGGTCTTGATCACACATAACACGTATGTGAAACACAAACACCCAGGCCGACGCAGACAAGACTAATGAGTTTTGAGGAGGAAAGGATTATGAGGAAACTTTCACCACGTGTGTTTCCGTTGGGAAAGCCCAGGTGACAAGTCCTCGTCATCCTGCTCAATGCTCAGTCGTTTTCCATGCAAGTCTATGCCTGCACAGCTGGCCGCATCGCCTCAACAACACATACAGGTTAAGGCTGGCCGGTCATTCCTCAGGCATTACTGCAACATTACACAGACAAAGCAACTGACCGCCGGCCCCTGCAGCCATAAATCAACACGCTCCCCACGGCAGGACTAATCACTGTATGCATGCGCACAAATCCATGACATATGTTAATATATGTGTGTCCGTATGCTCATGTATGTGTTGGTCCTCTGCGATTAACATTCTCCAGTTAATCTTGTGACTAAGGTCGTGTGTCGGTGCTTTACGGGGCACCACCCAGCTCTATGCCTTGACCCCAAGGGGGTCAGAAGTCTTCCAGTGGAAATACTGCTCATCTATCAACAACAGGCAACGACTGA